GAAAGATATTTGCGAGTTGCATATGAACCATGATATGAACTCAGTGCCGGCCCGTAGCACTGGCTAGATGTTCGCCTCGGGCGCCAGATCTGTGGAGGTGCTGCGCTGGCAGTTCTGGGAGGGAAAAAAACATTTTTGACCGTTGGGGCTCATCCTAATTTTCGGCCTTGATGTAACAATATTCATAATTAAGTAAATGTACACCCTTTTCACCCTGGTTACACGTTTCATTTGCCCTGTACGATGGGCGCTGTAAGTGATGAAAATGGGGGATGTTGGCTTATCTGGCGCCCGCAGCTCACAGCCAAAATGCGAGGGAGAGAGAGAAGGGCGCACCGCCCGGTACCGGCGCTGTTGTTATTAGAATCTGGTGCCGTGCTAGCTGCTCTAACGGATATAAGAAGAAGATGTTTCTACAATAATGTGGAGGGAGAGTTCTCTCCAGTCAGACTGAGAGGCTGATACTACAGCTCAGTGAGGTAAAGGACTCTGAGTGTTTAGATAGTTCACTTTAGTCTAAGTTCAAACGGTTTGGTCACAATTGATGTAAACACATATTTCCAAGGCACCTTTATACTTATTGGGATAAACAGGTTTCAAATAATTCCAATGTATACTATAGGACAGTAACCAAAAATATCCTTTAAAACTGGAGAGATAAAAAAAAATGCATAAATAAATAAATGTTAAGGTAAAATAAGATATGAATGAACAACACAAATAAAATAAATTACATTCATTTGTTATTGGCTATGGTAGGTTATTGGTTATGTTCACATACTTATTTGATTACATCCACTTGTCTAAGATGACAACAGAGACTTTCGACCCAAAACCAGCTGTTGACTTGTGGATGCAAGCAGCTAATCGCAGACTCAACCAGAGAGGAAGAAGTAGGCCTACATCATCAGCTACCATGTCTGACAGTCAGGAGGGGAGTGATGACAGCTTGTAGGATTACTGGTCATGCTAATGTTGTCTTGTGTTCACCTCTGCATGTGTGTGTAGTGTTCACCTCTGCATGTGTGTTCTGTGTTCACCTCTGCATGTGTGTTCAGTGCCGTGTGTCTGGCAAATAAAGTCAAGACCCCTCAAAAGTTACGGTTTATTTCATTTTAAGGATGAGCACCAAGCAACATCTCCAGGTGCTCCTTTGAGAACCAGGGCAAAAAAGTTATGTGCACCCCTGGCTATAATGCTGCCAATGTATATATGCATGCCGTTTGTAATCAGTTTTAATATTATGCTTAGTGTCATAACTCTGTTCTCATTCCTCACTGTAACTGATACCACTCTTGTTCTTCAAACCCTAGTGTATGCTGGCCACATTTTGACACTTCTGAGAGTTCTAAATACCTTAAATAATTAAATAATGTATATAAAAGTGTTTTATTATAGGCTACAACCATTTTCTTTAGAGCTGAAACATTGTATACAACCAAGTGACCAAGTTGGAACAAAGTGACTGGGAAAAAAATAGCAACATCTCTCACCTTGTGGCAGATATCTGTCTTGATCTCTTTCAGGGCCCTGTCAGAAAAGACGCAGCCACAAGTCTGCAGGTAACAGAACCTAGGAATAGAAACATTCATGTATGTGATATTTAAAAAAGAATCTTAAACGATTTGGACATATTCTTCCACAAAATAAGGTGCATTCCTCTAACATTGTTTGAACAAAACATTTGGACGAAATGTTATACCGGTCAGGAGAACAGTGGCATCATGCCAAATATATAAACTTTATAAACAATGTGATAAGAAATATTTTAAATGTCATCTGATGTAAATGTAACCCTTGACTGACGATAGACTACAGTCACCCAGATGTCAAAGTTTATCTTTAAATCAAATGGATATAATAATCACAATAAAACACCAGTCTTTAATTATTCTTATGATCCTTTACTCTTTGTTTGTTACCTGTGCTTGCCATTCATCTCCAACCCAACAACAGGGCAAATGAACATGCCGCAGTGGAGGTCCTCATATACGTCTCCTTTAGTATTACTTCTCTCTCCCGCCCACTCAGGGTTATCAGTCAAATTCAGCTCCTTAATATCCTGCAGAGGAGATTGATAAACATGAAAAATGTGAATATGAAATCACCGCAAATCCACACAAGAGTCAACATATCATAGCTCTGAATTTGGGAGTTTAAAACAGTGTCAACATACCTTAATCCCACGGATGTGAGTAACAACCTCCATATTGGGTCTCTCAGCAGTCTTATCCAGAAGATATTCAATGATAGCATCTTTGTTGAAGAGTCTGAAACAAAACATGGACCGGACTTTAAGGTCATAGTGTGCTGCAGTAATTGAATCTTCTACAATAAGCTGAGTTGTTTGTGAATTGTGACACGAACCCTCACTGTCACATCATGTAAAACACATGTCTCCGCAGTTGTATCTGGGCAAATTATTTCTGCCTGATTGACGACTAACAGAGAGAGCCAACTCTTACCTTCCCATCTCGCAGGAAACAATGGGGCGTCTGAGTTTCTCCTGGCTCAAGGCACAGTATTTCCATTTGGCAGCTCGCTCTGCATTTCTATCAACCTGGACACATTAAACAGGCATGTAAGAGCACACCGTACAACATATACACAAATAGCAGTTAACTGTTAATTACATGTATGTCTTAAGAATGTCAAAATTAAACATTATATCATATATAAATGTAAAAATAAATAACACGTAATTTAACTTACTATTGCCAATAACGTAAGTGTTAAAAGCTAACGTTAGCTAGCTAGTTAGCTGTCGAGTAGTTAGCCAACCTTTGTGTCAAGCAACACAACGCCTCACAAGACACATTTATCAATTGTCGAAAACATTTTTATACGTGGATTACTAACTTAAGATAACTGAAAGTATCGCTTCAATTTGTTTTAATTACTATCTTAACAAATAGCCAAATGCTAGCCAGCTAACAGTTAGCAACCTAAAAACAGCCACATCGCGAACAGTTATTAACTTCACATATAATAAAAATAAGCATTACACACCTTCTCTACTTTTTTGGGGCCTTTCACCAACTCGTGTCTTTTAGGAATCGTGCCACCATCACATCCCATCTTGAAAGATAAAGTTGAATCAACTGGTTAGCTTACTTTGGACAAAGCTACTAAGGCAGGAAGTTCCCAGCTTGTAAACAAACAACGAGAGCTCTCAAAAACTCGCGGGATGTGCGATTGATGTGATGTCGCCCTCTAGTGACTGAATTAACCAAATCTTCAGATGTATTTTATATTTTCAGCCACAGTGTGGAAGCATCACCCCAACTATTAGTAAACTTGTTTGCATTCAACAAGCAGCAGTCAATGAGAGCTGCCAGAGCAATTGGAAGCCAGTGGGGTTAGAACTGCACCATAAAATACAAATACAAATACAAATGAACAACAGAAAGACACTAAAACACTAACTAATTATCCCTAACGTTTAATAAAGCTTAGTCAGTCTCAGTTTGACACCAGTACTTGTATTTGTTTTGTAAGCACAATACACTATTGTAGCCATGCATGTTAACAGGAAAAAACAACTTCACCCAGATGAATTCACTCGTTTACTGCCCATCCATCTATTAGAGGTTTTTCAGTCAGCCATTAAACCCAGAACTAGTAAGTGACATTAGTCTGGCTTTCAGGCCTGTTGTCAGAGTGGTCTAAAGATGAAAGTTTCCTTGGAAGATGGTTCAATGAGTGCTAATTATATCTGTTTCCTGTGCCTTGCAGGCTGCAGATTAGTTTACTATCGATGGCACTGTCCAAGAGCGACCATTAGTTTGGGGAATACCTCAGTGGAGACATCTCTGGCGGCATGACTGATAATCTACAATGAAAAAAAACACTGAATAAAAACACAGCGTTTGACTTCGTTTTGGATAGAAAAATATATTTGAACCTCTTTAAACTCACCACACACAGACAGCTGCTAATGTGGTTCCTAAAATGTAGTAAAACCAACAAATATAAACATAAAAACATTTCTCCATTTTGCCTGTTGGTTCGATTGGTTCTTCCTGTAATTTATAAATTGTGTTATGTGTCTTATTGAATTTCCCCCCTTTCTCACACAGAGCTAAATGTTTAGTATGGATTTTCATTAGGGCCAATGGAGTAAAAGCACTGTTAGCAAACTATCTTTGAGAGAGTGGAGCGCCCCAGGCTGATAGTGCAAACCAACACCTCAGGAACACACAATGCACAATGGCAACTGGACAAAAGGAGACGGGAACAATGGCCTTCTATCCCTGTCTTGCATGTTCTGCTGTTCCAAAACTTTAGAGCCAATAGAGATGTTTTTCCGTGATTTATAAAGGCTGATAATAAAATACACTACAAAGATCTCTTTAGAGGAAAGTTAGTCTTAGTAAAACAGTGACACATTGTTGTATTTTTCACACCAATTCAAGTTTCAGGTCAGTTCATCAGGATGCAAGAAAACCAAAAAAACACAACTATAGAATCTAGACTATTTGGGCATGCCATAAATTCCTCAGTTAAAGAGTCATGTGAGCTGGATAGATACAAAGTGGGAAGTTAATTGATGCTTATTGAATCTAATCAAATAGTTAAGATATCACAGCTTCCATGAAACAGAGATACATGTATTGTGAGTTGATATCACATTGCAATTAATTTTAAAATGAACATGATCCTTAAGTATTCTCCGGCACTTAGAAAATGAGGCGGTTAAACAAAATATATTGTGAGTAACCTGTGTCATTTCACATCTAAAGTAACTCCAATCCAAAGCCATGTGAATGTGTCACATGCCTATAGATCCCCAATGTTTTGATCTCCATACCCTCTAGTTTTACATTACATTTGAAAAGTTTGCACAGCTGAAATGCAGCTTCCTTTTCCTCTAATCTCCCCCTCTGAGTGACCTCCCCACTGCACATCTCTTCCTGGCCGGCTGTGGTGCTACCCAGCACGGCTGACCCAAAGAAAACCCCAACCACCAAGCGCCCATCCAACCTCATGTTTATACTTCCATGATGAGTCCAACCTGCCCAATCAGACTTCCACTGACTGGCCTTGAACTGAAACTGTATACATCTTAACCATCCCAGCCATCCGAAGCAGCCAGTGGAGACCAAGGCTGCATTAATTGCACGCACCAGCCCTGGTAGTGCACCGAGTCCAATGCATTTAGCGTTTCTAATTGGGAAGGAATTGCTGTGTTTACATTGGCGCTAGTTGATAGAGCTGGACCCTTAGCCCTCCAGCCAACTGAGCTAAAGCCCTCTGAAGGAGAAATACCATACCGCGTAGTCCCTGAAATCTCTCTGGACAGAGTTGGATGGAAATTATTTGGAACAGAGTAGGGGAATATTTACTCATTTGTCAGGTGGGAGGGGAGGAGTTGATCTTTTACTTTTGTAAGATTTTTAGGGAAAGTTGTTACCTTTTTACTTTGGCTTTCAAAGTCATCAATAATTTAATCGGTACAATGTTATGTCAATAATAATAGTCTAAAATGTCTATCACTATTTCCTAGAGCCCCATGTGACATCTCTAAATTGCTTTTTTTATGCAACTAGCAGTCCAAAACCCAAAGTTAGGGAACCTTTAGTTAAACAAAACAGGAAAACACAGCAAATACTCACATCTGAGAAGCAAGTGTTTTTGGATTGATTTGGACATTTCTGTCATTTCAACCCCAAGCTGGACCTCCACTATAAGACCAGTATAACTACTGCAAGCCCAGGAGCTAAATAACTATACTAAATGATCTCTTATTTTGTAACTAATTCAATGGATAAACTGACACCATAACAAGTATTAGAATGTAACTACAAATACTACCGTCACTACATTGTCCCTCCATAAAACTACTTTACAAATATGTTATTTGTGAATTTAAGATGAATAGGGATCACCAATGTGCTCAGTCAGCTCCAACACAGTGTATCAAGCCATATGCAAGTTCATGTACATATAATGAGAAATCCAAAACCCTGGAAAAAGCACACCACATCCAACATGAAGACTGCAACGGGTTACCACACACACCAGTCAACCACAATTATTTTCTCATTCCTTTTTCTGTTTATGTTGAATCTCACATAGCTAAAGTTATGTTAGTTGGAAACATTGTATAAAACTAATTTTTCTTTCCTCTTGGTCTGAGCTGTATGAGAGTGAGTAACCCAGTAGAGCAATAGTAACTTAGTGATACCTTGGTGTCTATTATAGTAATATACCCCATGTAGTTGGGCATCAAGTGGTTAACAGGAGATTCTGCCTGGAGTTTTACTTTACTTTTCCCTTTAGAAAACAGGATCAAAATAACATATCTGACCTAAAAAAATAGGATTTATTATTTTTAGCTATTTCAATTGGGTTTGGAAACACTTTAGATGACTTAGCAGTAAAGAAATCAGGTTATGTCTGTATCTCTCAGCTTCCAGTGTATGACTGTTGAAGAAAAACAGGCCCCATGATGACAGGATTCCTCCAACAGATGATTGCGGGCCATTTTTCCCTGTTGCACCAGCCTGCTGTGTGACAGTTTTAATCCATTGGCTTTGCTGAAGTGTACAGCTCAACATTATATTCACCACAAACTCTATGAAGCACTGGGACCTCTTATGATCCCATCCAAGCCGATACATAGACCAATGCACCAGTACACACACACACACACACACACACACACACACACACACACACACACACACACACACACACACACACACACACACACACACGCATTCCACCTGGATGCATTTTTACCATCAGCCAGTTTATGATTATCTTTTCCACTGTGGCAAACCAGTTCTGAATACCCACTGACAGAAAAGCCACTAACAGATAAATGGATACATACACGCACACAGCTCAGATTTGTGTAGTATACATTCACAGTTTGTATAGGCAGACATTCATGTGACACACACATGATCCTGGGTCGCTCCTTGATGGCTGTGACTTGGGGAAAAAAAGTCTTAATACATCAGGGGAGGCTATATGAAAGGAACAATTGCATGTGCACCGGCAGCCCAGACTCAGTCACATATCATTAGCTTGACGGGATACCCGAAAGGTTCTGACAGCCTCCTGGCTGTGACTGGTGTGGCCCGGGGTGATGGGGACATACCTGTGGCTGCTTTGTGTACTCTGTGGGCACGTGGTGAGCACTAAGCACACGAAGCAGCTGAGGCCTGGCAGCGATGGTAGCTAAGGTTCTGGGTGTCTACGCCAGACGCCGCCTCACCATACACATCTTCAGCAATAATAAAACACACTCTTTCTTAAAAAAAATTATTATGCTCACTTTCAACGTCTCATGCTCTATCTCACTCTTTCCTGCCCATACACACACTCACATTACACAGACATGAGGGGAAAACAGAAGGTGATTCTGTTGTCTGCTTAGCTGCAAGCTCAGTGCTAGCTTTGAATGCTCACCAGAAATCAATTTGAAGTTGAGATATTAAAGTCTGCTTACCAGACTTTGTGGTTTAAATCAGAGGGTAATTTGTCTTTAGATGAATAGTTTGACATTTTGGAAAATATCTGTAGTTGCCATCTTTCTAAAAGAGGTTGAAAAGATTGATACCGCTGTAATGTTTGTCCTGTAGATACATGGCTAAAACACAAAGTTGGTTATTGCTATAGCCTAGCTTAGTGGAAAGACTGTAAAGAAGAGTAGCCTGGCTATGTCTTAAGGTGAAACAATCAGCATACAAGTTCCCAAAATGACCCGTTATATCTCGTTTATTTAATATGTACAAAGACCATATTGTAAAAATCGCACTTGCTGTTACAGGGGGTTACAGGCTTGAGTTATATTGGCCAGGAGCAATAACCTTCTAAAATATTACTGGTTCTCCGGCACTTTCAAGGTGATGACAAGATTTGAGGAAGTTATGCTTCTGGCCAAGAAATGGCCGACACATTAACCCCCCCTTTGCTCTTTGTTTTTGTACAGATAAAACAAACGAGATATAATGTGTTCATTATTAGCTTTAACTAGCCACACGCTCCAGCTTTGTATTGAACATACAGCTAAGAATGCAGAACTATTCTTAAAACACTTTTCTGAGCTACTTCTTGTCTCTGTCACACTTTTTGCGCACATGTTTATAGATGCTTCTAAAAAAGGGGGGATTTGTCATTTTTGGTACATCCATGTGTCTTGTTTAAAATAACACACATT